GAAACAACATTAGAAATCTGTGAAAATTCATGTAAATTATATGTTGTTATACAATTTCTGATCATTTCTGGTGTGCAAATTTGTGATTCTTTCTTTCTTTATTTATTTTTTATGCACTGTTACATTTTGGAAATAAAAATCCACCAAAAAATCACCAAAGCCTGTGTGTCTGTAGTTGCCTGTGTCACCAAACTGTTAGGATTGTTCCAACGTGCTATGATGCGAAATTATAATCTCACATAGTGTTTATTAATTTTACTGCTCAGCTAACTGTGACGTGACACTGCAGAGTATATTGTTCAAGTGTTTATATGTGTAATCGCTTTGCTAGTTGAATTCATTCGTTACCATACAAATAAATAACCGCTCCCGCGGACGGTTCGCTCGCGCGCAGGTAACGCTACTGCGAGTGTGGATGAACAAATACTGAAGTTACAGTGGGCTCATATCAAAAAGTAATTACTGTTTGCTTATTAATATGATAATGTTCTGTAACTGTGCTTTCAATCATTGATTTAATTTTACTGCTCAGCTAACTGTGAGGTGACACTGCAGAGTATACTTTTCAAGTGTTTATATGTGTAATCACTTTGCTAGTTTAATTAATTCGTTACCACGCAAATAAATAACCGCTCCGGCGCTTCTGCGGTGGGTTCGCTCGTGCGCAGGTAATCTTACTAAGTGTGGATGAACAAATACTGAAGTTATAGTGGGCTTTATCATGATATCAAAAAGTAATTACTGTTTGCTTATTAATATGATAATGTTCTGTAACTGTGCTTTCAATCATTTATTTAATTATTTACTCAGAACTGTTAAATTAGATCAAATATAAATATGTATATTTGTTGGTGCTTAGTTATAATGATCTGGAATACTTTATTGTGTTTCTGAATTGTTTAATGTGAATTTACTTGTATAAGCCACTTTCCATGTGCAGTTATGCTCAGTAATGTTCTTTAAGTAGTTTTGTTTACTTATATAGTGCATCAATAATAAAATACATTTAACCGAGAAAAAAAACCTTCTGTGTGTCACTTTACTTTAAAGTTCACTTTCACAGGTTAATGATGTTCATAACTCATTAATAAATGGTTCACAGGTGTTCACTTTTAAGGTTTGCTTTCACAGGTTACTAACGTTTATAATTCATTAATAAATGGTTCACAGGTGTTCCCTTTACATTAAGGTTCACTTTTGCAGGTTATTAACGTTTATAGCTCATTAATAAATGGTTCACAGGTGTTCACTTTACATTAAGGTTCCCTTTCACAGGTTATTAACGTTTATAGATCATTAATAAATGGTTCACAGGTGATCACTTTACATTAAGGTTAATTTTTAGACTTTATTAATGTTTATCACTCATTAATAACTGGTTCACAGATGTTCACTTTACAATAAGGTTCACGTTCACAAGTTATTAATGTTTATAAATCATTAATAAATGGCTCATTACATTAAGGTTCACAGGTAATATTGGAATTAAAATTTTCAATATTAATATCTCATCAAGTCATCGGTGTGCTTTTATTATTTTTTCCCCAAAATAAAAATCAAGATGATAATTTAATCTTGATAAACAAAATATATCGGTTTTTGAGTTATTAGTCATTTATTAACACCTTTATAAACCCTTTATAAAGGGAACCTTAATGTAAAGTGTTACCAATAAAAATATATACCGTTCAGAGGTTTGGGGTTGTTATGATTTTGTAATGTTTTTGATGTTATGTTCACCAAAGCTGCATCTATTTGATTAAAAAAAAAACACACACACAAAAAAAAACAGCCATTACTGCAGTCTTCAGTGTCACATGATCCTTCAGAAATCAAACTAATATGCTGGTTTGGTGCTCAAGAAACATTTCTTATTGTTATCAATGTTGAAAACAGTTCTGCTTGATATTTTGTGGACACCGTGACATCTTTCTAACCACAAACATTTGAACGGTAGTGTATAAACTGCAACTCAACTCATTTCCTTTTTTGAAAACAGATGGTAATGATGATGTTTAAGAACACTCTAAACAAAATGTTGTGCCATGTGGGGAAAAAAAGAAAAAGAAAATCACATCAGCAGCATCTTCCTGCAGCGCAGTTCCCGGGTCCGACTCCTCAGCTTCCACACAGCGTGTGCATTTCATTAACAGAGGGGAGTCTTGTGTCTAACTTATGGTCAATGGCTCAGTAATTATATTAATTAGCCTGAAATCTGCCATGTAAAGAAACCCTGAGGGATACATGAAAGACAGAATCCTGTGTTCTCCATGGCCAACATGTCGTCAGCTCCAACCGCAGTTAGTCAGGCCTTATCTCGCGCTCATAGAGAGGAGCTAATGGTCAAGGCTGGAGGATGAGGGTTTTGTAAAATGGACGGAGCAATTAACGCTTGCCAGTACTCATTATCCTCCATGTCAGTGGGTAGAGGCTGGAGGCCAGGGGGTGGATTAGAGCGAAAATGAAAGGAGAATTAATGGATGCTGCTTTAGATTTCTCTGCAAGTTCTATTAACCCTAATTTAAATCAATTTTCTCCTTTCTGCAATTCTGCGCTAATAAAGCTATCTGTCTGACAGTGACTTTGTGTGTCCCAGACGGGTACGTTTGAGATTCATTAGCCTGGGCTCATTTTGCTAAGTGCCCCCAAAGCACATAATGCTGTTAGTAAGCGTAGAACTGGTTGCTAGCACCATTGTCCTCTTTGCCCTTTGATACAGGCGGAACCATCTTCCTCGTATTTGGTGCTTTGGCGCGTCAGTCACAAATCAAATATATTCGTAAATTGTTGCCTTTTTACAGTACAGGAAATCCCTGTCATCACCAAGCTGCTTAAAAAGTATATTAGCATCAATTATCAGCTTTATTTCTCCTGTAGACAGATGATTATGTGCCGAGTTATGTCATCCGGGTTGATTATGTAGAGTCTGAAGTACAATATAATATATTATTGGGTCTGATAGGGACCTAATTAGGAGCATAATGGTATGGTAACCTATCAGTCAAGGCTAATTACTCTGGCTTTCATGCAAGAGTAATTGGGTTTTTAGTTCAGGGGCTGAGGTTTGAGACACAGGTATGAAGCAACAATTACTGGTGACAGAGATCAGAAGATTTATGGGTTGAAATTCAAGATGGAAAATGATGACATGCGATTCATCAAATTGCTTTAGCAACCACCACCTCCACTGCACACTCGCATCACAGCGTTCAGAGATTTGGTTTGTCTGAGAACCCACTGAGCACTGACGCTGTTCAACTGTGCTATTCCTATGTTCATGTATTAGTTGATTATAGTTGATTAACTTGTGTGAATGGAAATTGTTATTTGTTCAATGTATTAAAGGTGACATATCATGAAAATCTGACTTTTCCAGGTTTTAAGTGCTATAATCAGGTCCCCGGTGCATACCAATCAAGGAAGCGTGAAAAAGATTAACTCAGTAACTTTGTTTTGATAAGCTTTTTTCTGCAAGCGTCTGAAAAAACGAGCGCGGCTGATCTCGCTCCCCTAGTGATGTTGGAAAGGGATCTCATTATAATATTACCGCCCCTTAAAGGGTTAGTTCACCCAAAAATGAAAATTAGCCCACAAATTACTCACCCTCAAGTCAACCTAGGTGTCTATGACTTTCTTCTTTCAGATGAATCCAGTCAGAGTTATATTAAAAATTGTCTTTGATCTTTCAAGCTGTTTAATG